TGGTTATTTCGGAAGATGACGTTTTTAAAGGGTTGGGCTCTCTAAAATGCAGTTGTTCGCCTGGACCTGATGGAATTCCATCATGTGTACTTAAATTTGCGCTGCCGAGTTATGTGGTGCGATCTCAAAGATTTTTAACATGTCCTTGTATTTAGGTGTTTTCCCTTCGTGTTAGAAGAGTAGTTTCCTTATTCCTATCCACAACAGTGGAAGTAGACAATTTGTTGAGAACTACAGAGGCATAGCCAAGTTGAGTGTCTTGCCCAAGTTGTTCGAGCGTATTATGACTCAGCATTTGGCTTTTGCCATTAATTCGTATATTTGTTCGCACCATCACGGCTTTCGGAAAGGGCGATCTACAGTCACCAACTTGTTAGAGTTTACCTGTCATGTTTTCAAGGCTTTTCCTAGTGGCTCTCGTACAGATGTTATTTGCACTGATTTAAACAAAGCATTTGATATGGTTAACCATAACTTACTTATCTTTAAACTCCGAGCCTCTGGCTTCCCTTTCTACTTAGCGAAATGGATAAGCTCTTATCTGCACAATAGATTCTTCAGAGTTTTGTTTAGCTTCATCACCTCGGATGAATTCCCCGTTACGTCTGGCGTACCTCAAGGAAGTCACTTAGGTCCCATTTGATTTAGTTTATACATTAACAATCTCCCATCGGTGGTTAATTCCAGCCAGATCTTAATGTATGCTGATGATGTGAAACTGTTTTCTTCCTTCTCTGTTGAATCGCAATCACATCATCTTCAAGGTGATTTGGATAATTTTGTTGCATGGTGCTCTTTCAATCTTCTGAAACTAAATCTGAGTAAATGTAAGAAGCTTTCTTTCTCAAGAAGAAAGTCATTCATTACTCAGTATTTCATAGTTTCGCATAAGTTGGAGGACGTCGATTCGATCACAGATTTAGGCGTTCTATTTGACCATAGGTTATGTTTTAATTTGCATATTGAGCTCTCGATAAGTAAAGCTAGGTCCGCGCTTGGTTTTATAAAAAGGTGGTCCAAAGAGCTTGATGATCCCTACATTACGAAAAGGCTGTACATGTGTTTGGTTAGACCCATACTCGAGTATGCCTCTGTTGTGTGGTCTCCTTCATATAGGTTTTATGTAGATTCAATTGAATCTGTTCAAAAGCAATTCTTTCTGTTTTCCCCTTAGAAATTTGGATTGGGATCCGATTGCCTCTCTTCCTCTCTACGAAAATAGGTTGCTTCTGCTGCCCTTACCGTCTCTTGAGAAACGTAGCTTTGTTCTTGGCGTTTCCTTTGTAATCAAAGTAATAAATGGTGCTATTGACTCGCTTTTATTACATGGTGAAATATGCTTTAATGTCCCTAACCGCTTCTCTAGGCACTTTATCTTGGTTAAGCTTAGTCAGTGTAAATATAATTATGAGCTGTTTAATCCGCTCAGAGTCGTTTGCAAGAACCTAAACGACGTCTATCACTTATTCTCGCTATCGGACTCTTTAAAGTCCATTAAAGCAAAATTGCCTAATACGCGGGATTTACCTATGTCTTACTTAAACTAGCTTTTATCCTTAAAAGTCGTTGCGATTCGAAAATGAATTGCTGTTAAGTATTATCGTTTGCCAGGCTAATGCATGTTTGCGATGGCTTAGGGGTTCATTTGCAATTTGGTACTGTGCTCCTATGCTGATAGTGTACATGTTTTTTTTTTTCTTTTTTTTTTTTTTTTCTTTTCTTATTTGTTTTATTATGCTTATACTCAATTTTATTGTTAATTAATATAAGTTTTGCATTAAGTGCCAATTGAACTCGACTGTTATTTGTTTAGTTGAGTTTCATGTATAAGTAGAATTAAAATAAATAAATAAAACGTAGGTAATTTTATATTATAAATATATGTTTTCGAGTTTCTTGTCAATAAGCACCACAAAAAAGTAGAAAATTGTATCTACAAAAAACTGGTCATACGGCAAGCGAACGTGTATAAAAAGAGAGAATTGTCAAACTAAAAAAATTTAGAGGCGGCCATCGGTGGCGAAGATGATCAGAAGATATTTTGCGCACCAACTACAACTTTTGCAAACGACGCTTCGCCGTCAGGACGTGGAACACAGCCATGGGTGTAACTGTAAAATATACATTAATTACAATTACCTGTAAACAATACATTAAAATAAATTTTTTTTCTTTTTAATCAGCTTTTGAAAATAAAACTCAACTTTTTTTTAGAACAAAACCGGAATTATTCTTTTTATATTTTATATCGTTACAATTCAACTTGAAAATGTGAAAGTAGTGCAACAATGGCCGATGAAAAGTGCACCAAGTTACTTACTACCAGGAATACCAAATTGATAGCTTTCAGATTCCAACAACTCCAAAGTAAGAGCTAAATCAAGGTTTCTTAATATGTATTCAAAAGACTCTTTTTTCACGTGAAACTTTTGCAAAAATCTACATGTAACAATGTACATATATATATTTTAATTTATTTTGTTCACAAATGCATTAAATCATTTACGTACACATTTTGTTCAAATTTTTATTTTGGGGTAACGTAATTTGATGTCAAGCTTCTCGCAGAGCCCTTCTAGCTCTTGCAAGATTCCTTCTTTGCCAATCTCAACGTTCCTCTACTACTAAACCGCAATATGAGGAAAGAACCATTCCGCATGATATGCATTCCTTAACATTGTTTGATTATTTCATAATACCATTTTACTTACCTCATTTTTGTTTTGGCTAGCAAAATGGACTTTGGTTGTGAACGACAAGACCAGTATATTCCGTACAATGATAAGCTTTTATTATTCTTTGCTCCTTTGCACTTTGTCAATGATAGCAACGGTGTATGAAGACTTAAAACAATGCACAATTGATTACCAGCTTTGGCGAATTGCGAGTATTTATTAGACGATTGGAGTAAAAACTAAAAAAAAAAATAATTAAATTACTCACTTAATAAATTTAAAAATTTTTTGTTTCGGTTCGACTGTTTACAAGTAAAAGATTTTTTTGAAATTTATTTTAATTTAAGTTAACGGATGTTTGCGTGAGTAATTTTGCTTACGCGTATTTTGACATATTTCAGCGAGCGTGTCTCGCACCTCTGGCGCATATGTATAGTTAAAAAAATCTAAACTCGAATATGAAATTTATTTAGCCCCATACATAATCACTAGCCTACTTTTCTCATTTACGAGAAGGAAGAAAATTATAGTCGGCCGTGATCGAAACTTTTACACCCATCTCTAAAAACTACACTATCGGTTGGGCGCAGCAGATTTATGCTATTTTCAAAATATAAATGGAAGTTTACACGGTGTTTGTGTAGTAACAAAACACGTAAAGAAAAGATATTCACAGTTTTTGTTACATAGATAGATAGGCATTGTGGGCATGTTCAATGAAAAGTTTGGGTTATTTCCAAATTATTTCGCAAGTTTGTAGGCGGTGTCTTCATTCTGAGTAACAGGGGAATGTTTATCAAAAATCCTACACAGTTGTGCAAACAGGCAGATGATATGTTTAGGTGCATTCAAAGTTTGAAACTGCCCAAGGATTTGCGTTCTTTATGGGGTTTTTGAAGCTTGTTTGTGTGCCTTATAAAGATATTGAAACAAAAACCAAATATTGATGCTCTATAATATTGGATAGGCATTGTCATTTTTTGCCATTTTTGTGCAGGTAGTACAGCATCATCCAAAGAAATTTCGTTAAAATTTTTATACATTTATCTATTACAGTTTAGGACTAATTTTCTTATTCTTTTTAAAAAACAGAGGTGTCCTAAGTTTACGTGGTGATCTGGGCGTAATCCTCAACCGATTGGCCCATTTTAGATACCAACTTGCGTCCAAGAACTTACAATGTTTATACCAAATTTGAACTCGATAGCTTCAATTTTGCAGCCAGGAGAATGTTTATAGCAGAAATTATGCAGACGGACATGCTTAAATTGGTTCACAACTTGGTGCTTATCAAGATTGTATATACTCTATGAAGCTTCAGAGCTTACTTCTGCGCAATGCTAACGGTTTGGGTAAATGACTATATCCGTCATCTTTCGGTGATGAATATAAAAATTAATAAAATAACGCAAGCGCTGGCAGTAACCATGTCTTATCATGAACAGGGTTATCGTGTCAACAGGCGAAAGTCATACGCAATGCAAACGCAAATGATTTTCAAGTTTTGTCCCCGCAGCGAAAGGTAAGAAAGAAAAATTTGTACACTTGCATGTAATGCATGCTTTATAATATTTGAAGAAGCAGACATCTCTATTACTTGCACGAGAACAATTATTATGAGTAGAGTCATTAACTACATTTCCTTCTCCAGTGCTTTGTTTGAAGGAATAGAAATATGGCTTCTAAACGGAAACATAGCGATGGAAACGGTAAAATGCAGGAAATGCACACAATCATTAAAAAACATACCTTGGATTCCGATGAAGAAGACAGCGATGATTACGAAAAGTTCTGATTATTGGCGATATCACCGAAAATAAATTAATTGAAATTAATTTTTAGGGACGATGTAAGTGACGTAGAAGGTGAGGAAGACGGCATTTCCAATATACAGGATGAAGTGAAAATTACACCATTTAATATGAGAGAAGAGCTTCAAGAGGGTCATTTCGACAAAGAAGGCCATTTCCATTGGAACAAAGAAACGGAAATTAAAGACAGTTGGTTGGACAACATTGATTGGGTAAAGGTATGGTTAGTTTAATGATTCTTGTAGAGGTGACTTATTTAATAACACCTGTATGTTCAGGTAAAAACGGAAAAAACTTACCTAAATAGTGAAGACTCGAATGAATCTGGGACACTGCCGCCAGCTTTTAATGAAATGAAAGTGTACCAACAATTAATGTCTTATATGTGTGACAATGAAAAAGTTAATGAAACTTTAAGGCGGTTGGGTAGAGGTCGCAAGAAGTTGAGTTCCGTTGAACGTATAAAGCAAAGAAAATCGTGTACTGACGAAGCGGCGGAAAAAATAACTCAATTTACTGAATTGGCGAATGAAATTTTGACTCGAACAGGCAATATGGATATATATCAAATGTCTTACAGACAAATCCAAGCTAAAATCATAGATATGCCAAGTTCTAGTAAACAAGAAGTCTATAACAGCAGTTTTGACATGTATTCCGAAGATTTCAGTCGGAAGGAAAAACAGAAATTGGAAGACTCCAAGCGCAATAGCGGTGATGTCGAGAAACAAAGTAAAATTGCCGAGAGATTACTTTGGGAATTCAAGTGGAAGCAAGATGACACTGTATTGCATGGGCCTTATGATACGAAACAAATGCTACAATGGTCACAAGACGGCTATTTTAAGAAAGGTGTTTATGTACGAAAAATAGGGAACTCCGCAAATTTCTACAACAGCAAACGTATTGATTTTGATGTATATTTATAAATCAAACAAGAAAATCTTTTCCGAACATGTCCGCAGAAATTAACAGTGTTTATATATAAACTTTTTTTTTGGTAGAAAAAACAGAATTTTCCCCCTTTTTTGTAATGTTCACATTTAATTAAACAAAGGCTCCCTTTTCATTTTTTTTTTATTTTTCATTTCAATTTTATTATTGTTATTATAGATTCACTTAAAATATTTGTGTATTGTAAATACATTCGTAGATTATTATGAACTAAAGAAACGCACGGGAATTAATTGTAGAAAACAGGAAAATGTTTAACCATTCAAAGGAAGTTTTCAACCAATTAGATTGAAAAAGAATATTTGAAATCAATTGAAAGTGACCTAAAATCTTAGCAAGGTGTGCCCTAAAACGACGGCAAATTTAAGCTGAGAATTTTGGCGCTTTGATGTTCATGTCGCAAACAGAAGCTTTACTGAGAGTTTTATTTCTCCCTTCTTTAACGAAGTAGAAAAAAATAAATATATATGTAGTACTTACATCGTAATTGTATTGAAATTATAATGGTTTCTCAAATACGCCTCATTGAATTAGGATGAATATACTATTATTTTTATATATATAATTTGTTGTTTATATGCAAATACGCAACTGCGTTTTTGCGTTTACAATTATAAGAATATCTTAGCTACTATTTCGACACGATTCCTAATAGCTCCTTATAGAATTTTGCTTTGTGTAAGTTCTTTCGTTCGATCTTTCTATATGGTAGCAGCGTTAAAACTTCTTTCCATTTTTTAAGAAGTATGTTATCGTCTCTATGGTGTAGGGATTAAGCGGGTAACTGCAATCTCTTGCCTTTTAACACTTTGGTAATGTATAGATAAAAAAAGTCACAATAAAGAATTGTTTGTACGACGCCTGCAAATATCGCAATTAAATCATAGTGCGACTCCACAAAATAACGATATATCCAGTTGAGCAAATACAGAGCGCGATAAGATCCCAAAGCAAACAAATAGTGACTGGTAATTGACTCGGCTTCACCAGTCTTACTGACCATAAACAACTGCGGCAATATGGCTACGGATTCCAGGTAAATAGAGAATGTCCAAAGCACTTCCATTACAGTAAAATCATGATTAATAAGCAGCGAAAGCAAAACACATGGCACCAATAAAAATTCAACACGGAATGAATCATGATTATGATCATACGTTGCCTTAAACTTCACATACATCAAATATACTGTAGCTCCTGATGAAGCTAGAAATATTACCTTCATCACCGAATTGTATAAACTAACGTAGGTCGTAAATAAATCCAAATATCTGGTCAAATAGACTAATGCGAAGAGCACTTGTGATTTGCCTGATATGCCAGCACATGATCTTGTCTTCCAAATCTTTAATAGCAAAATGATTATGGCAAAAACATGCGCCAAATCACCGGCCAGACGAAATAAATTCATAGTGAAGAAATTTTACTTTTTTAGGAATGACGTGAGAAAGAACTTTTATGATTTGCCGACTCTTTTTGGCCGATAATCAATTTTCGCTTTGTCTTACTGTTACGTGTTCAGTCCAACAAGTAAGGCGATTTTTCTTTATTTAAAAAAAGTGATATTTTATTATTTCAGTAAAAAAAGAATAATTTGCTATATATATATATTTCACATTTACACTTTGCCAACAGAGTAAAATTTCTTTTACGTCGACAAAACACAGAATGCGGGATACGGACAGAACAGTATTGCCAGAAAAAAAATATAAAAAATTCTAACTTGTCGATGGGAATTTGTGAATTAAACGAAATTTTGTATGTGTTATGACAAGATTAATTGCTTAAGCAAAACGAGTAAACGTACACAATTACAGATCAATGAGACAAATAATGGTTAAAATCTACTAATGTAAATATCGAATATGCATAAACTTCGTCATATATTTGTAAAGTTTCTTTATTTTATTTAAAAAATCGATTGCTCGGAGAATAACAAAATTTAGAGCAAATATCGTTTAAAACCGAAAGCAGAAAAATAACGTTGTTCGAAAACATAAGGTGACGTTAAAATAATACAAATTTTAAAGAACAAAAGAAGATAGGCTTATTTTTATGTCTTTTATTCTACTTGCACCCATGGTCTTTTATGAGACCATTTTTTTGTTTACGGAACTTTTTTGCCCCATAAAACTGTTGTTTTATTTCGTTGCAAACACACATTAACTAGTAAATATAGGTCATAAATTGAATGAGATATATATACAAATATATTTTTTTGCAGTACCATATAGGTCATAAATTGAATGAGATATATATAAATATATATTTTTTTGCAGTACCATGGTTAAACGCGAAATCATGTTTTGGTCAGGGTATGAGGTATTACAAAAGAGTTTGTTACATATAATTGTTTTCTTTTGCACAGCGGGCCTGTTCCTGATTTTGAAAACGATTGCTTTCAGAATTAAGTTAATATCTGAAAAATCGTGATTCGCGATATTTAAATATTTGATATCGTATACACTATTGAGCTAGGGCGGTTTTCTCATATACAGCGTGTTTCACAAATGTTGGGTTTCGTCGCTCGACAAACAGTAAAAATCTTATTTAGCAAACTACGTGAAGAAATTTTTACCACTTTATAAGACTGCTTGAGGAAATATCTAATTCATCTAAGCGGGGATTTGTACCACTTTAACAGACCCCGTGAGGAAATTTCTCATTCAACAGACTGCGTAAAAAAATTTATTTTCAACATATGGTATTGTTTTTATAAACCTTGTAAAGGAAAAAACCATCGGATTTTAGGGAGAAATCAAAGCCCTTTACAAGTGCACAAAGAAGTTGGTGGATCATTTACATAAAGTTAAACAATGTCAAAAAAATTGCATAAAAAAAAAAGAAAATGCAAAATTTTAGAAGAAGTAGTTGGCGAGACGTTTATGTAAAACAAAAAGAAAAGAGCCCAAAAAATTGTATATTATTTTGAAGCTTGAGCTTTGCCGGAATCGTTAATGTTAGAATTTTTCTTATGATTTCATACGAATCCATCATTTCCGGTGCGTTCAGTTCAATAATGAAATCACTTTTTTTCAGTCAAGACAGGATGAATTTAAGTTAAGCTTGGCGCTGGTTCGAACAAAATCTGATGTGTCTGATTGTATTTGTGCATAAGCGTTGTGTTCGTACATTGTCAAATGGTTTGAATAAGGAGATGTGGGATGGGCAGACACTTTTCCTAGAGCAGAGGAACCCCTTGCAGAAAAATCTCTTGCTGATATATCGTCCTTAATGCCTCCGTCGCAAGCGTGGGATGGAATTGGTATTGTATGTTGCATTTGATTTTCCCCTATTTTGAAAAATTTGATGTTAATTCTTTCCATATATTCATACAAGTGCTTGAAATATAATATATAATCTTGTATATATAAATGTATAAAAAATATGCATTCATCTCCCCTTGTACGTCTCCTGAACAGTTTTATACAATTTTTATAGGCGTGGCATTCGATTTTCCCCTATTTTGAAAAATTTGATGTTAATTCTTTCCATATATTCATACAAGTGCTTGAAATATAATATATAATCTTGTATATATAAATGTATAAAGAATATGCATTCATCTCCGCTTGTACGTCTCCTGAATAGTTTTATACAAATTTTTATGAATATTAGTTGATGAAGATACAAAAAAAAAAGAAGGAAAATGAAAAAAAATATGTTTACACGTACCTTAAAATATTTAGTATTAAATAGAAGTGTAAAGTCAAAGAGTCCGTGGTTTGAGATGGAAAAATAAAACGGATAAAAATAAGTGATAAGCATTCGCTTCCAGGTTGACAAATCGGCCGCGGATAACACATCCGTTAACTAGTGAAATGTTACAGTTTTAAAATTGCATATTGCTATCATAGCACTTCTCGATTTCATCATCATTTTGTTTTATAAAGTTCCTCTTTATAGTGTGTCATGACCTTATTTTCGCATTGACTAAATGAATTAAATATGGCTTTTTAAACACACATGACATGCCTTTTGAATTTAGAAATACTAAAAAAAAAAATGCTCAACTTTTCTGCTTATTAGCACGTTTCTTGCTAATGCCTGTATGTTTATTGTGACAAATCACCTCTAGTGATTTTTTTTTTGCACACAGCAATAAAATGATATTTATTTTTTTATGGGACCCGAACTTTGTACTAAGCCATGGTTTGTTTTTCGTAGCTTTAATGGCGAATAAATACTCAACAAGGAGAATGAATTTATTTGTAATTAAAGAATATGGAGAACACATGCTTGCAATATATATTCAAGAGCCAATGACAGACAAAAGAAAGAGTGAATTGAAACAAAGTCTACCGATTAGAGAATAGTAGTAGCTGCACTGGATGTTACGATAGCCGAGTAATTAGGATCGCTGCTACGGAGTTGTTTGGTATATTCAGCTATATAGGCTACCTAAAACGGTGCCGCAAACATGCGCAGGGCTGGGAACGAAAATTCGGCGATTTCCGTGATGGTTTTCTAAAATCGCAGGACACAACGTGCGCCATGGAAGAAGACATCTGTACGCACCTGTACACGTGAAACCGCCAGAAAAATATATCCGCCTGTCTATTCTTCATTTCTTATCGAATTCATCATGATAGGGAAAATGTAAGTCAAGGCTGAAGCTTGATACACATTGTCGCAGATTAATAATAACAATAACTGGAATATTGAAAAAAAAGGGAGAAAGGAGCGCAAATAATAGATTGTTTCAAAGATTTTGATCTCTAAAGACATGGCTTATTTTATATTATAATTCTTGCACGTATGTCTTTGCTTTGTGAGGGCCTTTCGGCCCATTCTCTGGGGCTGGGGTAGTTCAGCGGCCCAGAAAAAATACAAGAAAATTTATATTCGCAAGGGATCTTTTTTTCGCTCTTTATTTTATAATTATTCGAAACGCGAGTGACTCTCCAACTAAGACTCTCTAATTAAGACTAACTCTAAATTATTCTAACTTATTCTGCTCTACCCTAATCTTAACCTATTCTTATTCTACTCTTAATCTATTCCTGTCCTATCCTCACCCTAGCCTTATTCTATTCCTGCCCTAGCCTTATTCTATTCCTGCCC